GAAGTGGGCGGGGGGCGGGTACAGAGACCGTACCGTACACCTGATTAAAAGTGCCTTAAAAGCTGGAGGAATAACCCGGATCGCGCAGTCAACCCAGTGTGTGGTTGTGTGGGGTGTCCAACTCGTGAATCAGACTGCAATGGCTCACTCTCAATGGGGCCTCTGTGGCACTCCCACTTTGTGTGATCCCAGCCAGATGTGGCGGTATGACTAGGCGTGGCTCCAGCCACGTCAGCAACCTGCGTCCTCTTCCGTCTCCGTTCTTATTGATTTGATCATGGTACCGGCCTCTAGACGGAGGGTGGATGAGAGTGTGCGGTTGATACAGTGCAAGTCGACCACCTCAATAATCTTCCTCCCTTCTAAGGCAGAATGGGATGAGTGAGTTGCCATAGCCCTCAGTGAAAGTTCTTTAACTAGTGCCCATATCTGCCGATCTAAACCGGAAAGATAAGCAGCGTGTGACTCAAGTGGATAAAGCGTTGGACGGCTAATCAACATGCCACGGGTTTGAGTCTAGGGTAGGGCACGCGATGGGGTTTGGTGTGATAAGATGATGAGGACCAGTAAGCCAGAAATGGCCACTCCAGTCTCCTGTACAGAGAAAAATGTGTCAGCAGACGCGAGTCTCACGAGACGGCCGAGACTGCTGGGTCGTTTGAGCCAAGGATAATTTAAAGTGACGATAGAAACGAGGAAGTGAGTTTCGAAAGACAGTTCAGAATGAGATGCTACGACTGCAGTAAGACGTTTAGGCAGGATTGATTATAGAGGCCGTATAAATCCTGTCGACTTATAACAAAAAAAACTACTTTTACATGTTCAGTAGTCCGACTGAATTTTTTCCATAAATTGCACCAATAGGAGGGGAAATTTCAATTTTCGTTAAATTCTGCCTACATGACGTCAACTTTCCCTTAATTAGCATTCCTAGCTTGCGCAACAGAAGTTAATTTTGATGGAATTGTATTCTGTTTTATCATATTAAAACGAACACAACCTTATCTGTATACTTAATAAAAGTGATGACTGTCTCTGTGTGCGTCTCCCTTATTATTGGTCGCAGGGGTCAGATTGAAACGCCTTCCGCGCCTTCGACGCGCGTGTGTGTTAGTACCGCGCTCACTTCGTAGACGCGCTC